TCGGATGCGAATGGAACAATGTTTGTTTGAAAATTTCAAAGCAATCGGTGAAGAACTTAAGAACTTTCAGAGATTGGCGATTATGAATAAACATACATATATATATATATATATATATATATATATATATATATATATATATATATATATATATATATATATATATATATATATATATATATATTAAATTTATTTATTATTATAAAATGAGGGTGAGAGCAGGAGACACGCAACATTGGTCACTCGGAGAGCACAAAAAAAATCCAACAAATCCCCAGAAATATTTTCGCAAGGGCCTTAACTACTCTTGAAGTACAGGATGTGTAGCAGGGGACGCGCAGGTTTACAGCAGGAGCCAGGGGAAAAGTGCCTTTCACTGTTATACTTCACGTGATGACCTTCGCCACGCGAGATTATTCCTGCCTGACCCGTGAACATGATAAATGAAGCCATGATGACTTTTTCGGATATTACAGTTTTCTATAATCTCAGTATTAACGAACAACAGTTTTTTTAACGCTGGCTTCAGCATCGTGGCGTATGACACATTTTACCGTCATGTAACTCACTGTAACTCCATACAAGTGGGACAGTGAAAGAGAAGTCACTGCCCGAAACGCTTTGCGTAATAGAGGCTTTAGGCATTGTATGTACTAGCTCTATCTATAAATCTATCAAATTTTGTAAAATCTCTTGTATGTATATACCTTACCTGAATAAACATTTATTTATTACAGAATTACATACTGGATTAAATAAAGTATCTACATTAATGTACTAAACTCGACAAATATTGGCAAGTGGACATGGACCTTATATACCCTTCTTCTATTCACATCCTTATACATGCAAAACAAGAGCTTTATTTCAGTCCTGTGATCCCATTTTCTTCCTACAGTTAAAGTATTCAGTTCTGTGTAGTTAAGTTAGATTCAGAGTGTATCTTATCACGTTTGAAATACATGAATTATTAACCACTAAAATGACCCGACTTTAAATATAATTTACGTGGAGTGTAAGAATACCTTCTTGAGGTTATCTTGATATGATTTCGGGGCATAGCGTCCCCGCGTCCCGGTTCTCGACCAGGCCTCCTTTTTGTTACACATCCCCCGGGAAGCAACCCGTAGCAGCTGTCTAACTCCCAGGTTCCTATTTACTGCTAGGTGAGCAGGTGCATTAAGGTGAAAGAACCTCTGCCCATTTACCATTTATAACCACCCAATCTCATGAGTGGGATTGGGTGGTTATAAATGAGCTGCCTCGTATGGGCCAATAGGCCTTCTGCAGTTACCTGTTCTTACCTTATTACTCTGCAATTTCCAGCCACGAGATGTTGAATGCCCCCCCCCCAGCTCCACTTGACCTGTCCATGTTCACTCTCCAGTACACACTAAATTTTCTTTTGACTCCTTCAAGAATGCCTATGGTTTCCCCCACGAGCTTGGATGCCCCGGCACCATTGGCCAATGGGTGTCAGGCACCACCCGGAGGGACTCCACCTCTCAGGTTTAGTCCAATCACTCGCACCCCCCCCCCCCCCGGCCAAGTACCCTGGCACCACTAACCAATGAAACAAAGGCCCTCGCTCTTGGCCAATGAAATCTTCACAACTGCCCGGAGGCTGTTTTCTCACGAAATCTGGAAATAAGGGTTACAGCCAGATTCTTGAGGAAAAAGCCTTGTCTAACCAGCCATCCAAGAGGGAAACTTGAGAATATGGTTTTATGGCCCTGGCTGAGAGTTATTGCTCACAACTTGCCAATGGCTATAAAGGAGACTGGGGAGGGGAAAAAGGGAAGATGGTTGGGGAAAAGAGCTGGGGAGGAGGATTGGGGAAGAGGGGGACGCTCGGGCCTAAGATGGCCTCACTGCCTAAGGACACTTGACTCCACAGTTTAAGGCAGGTGAGGGACGGGGAGACAATGTTATAACAATGACTTGTTATACCGAAAATATGGCATATTAGAGAAAACGGCGAAGGTCAAATATTACCCAAACCCCCCTACAATTTTCAAAATATCGGAAATCTGAATCATGAGCGTTATTTTTTAGCAGAATTCTGGCTCACTGCACATGTTTGAAGATGCAAATTAAGATTTGTTATACCGAAAATATGGCAGTTGGCGAAAACGGCGAGGGGTCAAATTTTACCCAGACCCCCCCCCCCCCTGCAGTTTTTAAAATATCGATAATATCGCAAATCTGACTCATGAGCGTTATTTTTGAGCCGAATTCCGGCTCGCTGAACATATTTGGAGTTTGACATTACGACTTTTTATACCAAAAATTCGGCTCAAAGTTAACGCTCGTGAGTCTTATATTAAGTTACGTCTTATGGCAAAGACGTAACCCTATGAGGAACAAATGCAACACGATATTTGGCAATCCCTAGGTAAAGCAAAAGCAAGGCATCTGCAAAGCACCAATGTTAAACAAGAAATCCTGTTTGAGACATGTGACATCCAGTAGAAGCAATTTCCGTGCTCTGAATAGCAAAGTGATGCCAGGTGTACTGTGCAGCATAGTGGGATTAGATTTTTAAGATTGACATTATTTTGGATTGACGAAGATTAAGCCACCCAAAAGGTGGCACGGGCATGAATAGCCCGTAAGTGGTGGCCCTTTTGAGCCATTACCAGTATAAATAGATGGTACTGGAAATCTGTGGAGGTGCAGCTGCACCCTGCGTGACGGGAGATGTCTCTTGATGATGATGAAGATTAAGCCACCCAAAAGGTGGCACGAGCATGAATAACCTGTAAGTGGTGGCCCTTTTGAGCCATTACCAGTATCAATAGATGGTACTGGAGATCTGTGGAGGTGCAGCTGCACCCTGTGGGACAGAAGATGTCTCCCGTCCGCTTATTTTGGGATATTGTACAGATTATGTACTCTCAGATATGACTCATCCCTGTTGCCTCTCTCATGCCATTAAAACAAAGTGGGAATCGTCTCTGGCTGTGTTACATATTGGCCATACAATATAGAATACAGACCTACATTTTACTTTGTTGAACTGCATTGTTCCACTAACAATCATGGCCCTCATAGAATGATTATTCTGAAAAATAAGGACATAGTTTTGCTTTTCCATTGTTTCTTTGGGTCATGTCCTTCAATAACATTCTCAGTAATTCTGATGGCTTTGACATTGCTCATCCTATCTAGTTTCTTTTTTATGGACCTCCTGAATATCCAGGAATTTCCTAATATCCTGTATAATTAATCTTCCAGACTTGGTGCCTACTGGGGAGGATTACTTATTACATATTCATATTGAAACAAATGTTCTCATTTGCTTTATCACATAGAAGCAGATCACAGAATAACAGAATATAGCATTGGAATGTGACTGTATTGAATGTGAGGGTACTGGTATCCAAATTGTACTCCCACATAGCAGTATAGGTACATGTGAGCCATTGGCTCCACCACATTCATAAACATATCATTCGTCATGCACACTACTAGTGATGCTACCAATTGTACTTGATATTTAATGAGGAAAAAGGCAAAAGTATTGACATATTATTTTTATTAAACCATATACATTTAAGTGAATAAATTTGATTGAAAAGTTAAATTTTGGACAAAATCTATTCTATTTCATAAAAGTATTAACTCCAAAATAAATGAAACATACACAAGGGTTGTGAAGATAACTTGTTAGTATTAAAATTCCAAAATTAAAATCGGTCTCAGTTTAAAGTCAGGACACTGTTACTGGAGTGCCTAAGTCAGTGTGTTATGTGATAGAAGTACAACAGGTGTTTTTTTTTTTATTTATTAACCATGTAGCATTAAATATTTAAATGCAAGTAGAAGCCAAGTAATGTATATATATGGGCTGCACAAATACACTTGTCTACTTTCCTCTGATATGTGGAAGTTAAGGTTGATGTGCATAATACAGTGCAACCCCATTCTTGTTCTATTTTTGTTTTTTAATAACACAATATCTTAAGTGATATTTGTATTGGTTCACCTAAGTTAAAACTTTTTCGGACCTGATATGATGAGCTACTGAAGTCAGAAGAGTCCTCTACTACAATATCCATGACCTTCTGTGTTGAACCTTAAGTAATGCTTCCAAACTATATTACAGGAAAATGTCTTTCAAAAGTGACCCAATAATTTTTACAAATACGAGAGAGAGTACCGTGGATAAAACTTGCCGAACTACTTTACACCACTATGTATAATAATGCTCCAACTTGAAAGAGGCAAGTAGCCGAACTACAAACAACACTTATGTGCATTACTGTAACCAAGATTATGAGTTTATACAGCATAAACAAGGTACTGAAGTTTAAGATTTTCAGCACTAATGATTATTAAGTTTCTTATAGAATCTGATTACATTAAGGCATATATGAAGAAGGCAATACCAATACATTAACATTTTCTTTATAAATTATACATGGATTTTATATATATTTAATCTTTATCAGATTTTATATAATTTAAATGTCTCTTAACAAACAGGTACTCAATGACGTGTATATCACTAGTAAAGAACTAATATACTCTACTGTAATCTTGAACTTGGGAAATCGCTTACATCTGGTTATATATATATACACTGTATCTTGAGATGATTTCGGGGCTTTAGTGTCCTCGCGGCCCGGTCCTCGACCAGGCCTCCACCCCCAGGAAGCGGCCCGTGACAGCTGACTAACACCCAGGTACCTATTTTACTGCTAGGTAACAGGGGCATAGGGTGAAAGAAACTCTGCCCATTGTTTCTCGCCGGCGCCTGGGATCGAACCCAGGACCACAGGATCACAAGTCCAGTGTGCTGTCCGCTCGGCCAACCGGCTCGGCTCCGACCGCCTCCCCTGTACTCTTATTTTGCATTATAGCTTCTTCTTAAAACATAAAACTTCCACAAAACTGGAACACAGCCTAACTATACATGACAAATAACACTTATAAAATTCTTCACAATCCAACACTGTTGTGCTTGTACAGTATTTATGAAAAGACAAACTGCAATAACTAAGATATATATATATTTTTCCTATTAACATACAGTATATTAATGGTACAGTTAATTACCTGCAATAAAGACTATACTATACAATTTTTTTTTTTTTTTGCCCATGTTGGCAATATAATTTAGTAGGAAACTGAATACTTGACAAACACAATTCAAACTGCAGTATTATTTTTTCCACTGCTCATTTTCAAGGTCTTATTTACTACATTTACTCTTGTCAACAACCAAAACTGATGTAAGGCATAACAAAAACCTATATTGTGTGTGTATATATATATTATATATATATATATATGTATTTTATATATATATATATATATATGTATTTTATATATTTATATATATATATATATATATATATATATATATATATATATATATATATATATATATATATATATATATATATATATATATATATAATCTCTCATTTGTACTAAGCAGCATATTTCTTTGCAGAACATAATGTTTAGGTGTTGACCTTTTTTCCTTGTACCAAGAAAAAACTTCACTAGAGCCACATTGGGCCAAGTGCTAGTCCAGGGCGTCATTCACTACAACAAACCATAATTGTAAATATTTATGCTTTGGCAAGTAAATCGTGCATTTTAGTTTGAAGTGTGTGAAGCGAGTCAGTATGAGAGTGGAAACGCAACAGGTGTAAGAATGCTGGTGTCCTTGCTAGCTAACGGCAACATCACAAACTCTTGGCAGTTCTTCCTCGTGCCATTTCAGATGTAAATCGGATGTAAATTTCAGGAGTAAATCCAAACATGTTATTAACTGTACTGAGCAAAAGGATTGTAGTTGATCCATTCAATTTGGAAAGGAAAGAGATCGATTCACATCCAGCTATGCATAAATTTTTTACAATGTTAGATGTTACAGTGGAAGAGATCAATTGTTTGCAGCAATCCTAGTATAATAATACTGTAAATAATATTAATTTCATAACAGAAAGTTCCAAATTTTTGCACATAATCACTCAAATTATTGCCATATTCCTTCTTGACCGTTTACATGTGGTACGAGAGAATATTACATAAAACTGTAAGTTTCTTATTAAATACTTTATCACTACAGAAAACTGTTAAATATCTGTAATAATTAGTTTAAGGTAAATAAATTTTGGATAACAAAGTCTATACAACTAAGGCACTATACAAGATGAAGTCTGTTCAAAAAATAAAACCAGTGTTGAATGTAGTGAAGTGCCTATTTCTGGTTGGGCCTTAGTGGCTCTCTAAAGCTAACTGCATTGAGATGGCTCCATTCACAAATCACACCAGTCCTAGAAGTCCTCAATAGCTAGTCCTCACAATGATTAGAGCTAGAAACTAGGGATCCCCCCTCCATCCCTCTTACAGGGGCACCAGAAAGTAAGCGAAGCAGAACAAACAACTGCAAGGTTCGAAGAGAAAAAAAAAGACAAAGCAGAAAATAACTCGGTAAACAATCCACCCAATAGATGCACAGTAGTTAGAAGTAAACCTCTCTTAATTACAGCGCCACTTATCTTGTGGTTACCTTGTGTTGGTTCCGAGGATCAACATTCAAGTGGCCTAGTCTCCTAGTTGGTGGTCTGGACAGCCAGACTTTTGGATACAGCTGTTTGCAGCCTGACATATGAATTACAGCCTGGTTGATTAGGGATGATTTGGAGATAATTATTAATTTATCTTTGGAGCATAGTGAGAAGGTGGCCAGCTATGCTCTTTATGTTTAGAGGGAGAGTGATAAAAATTCTTCAGTCTTTGATATTGCTAGTTCTCTCTCAGCATACCTACTATTCCTTTGTTTTCAATAGGGGCTGTTTTTCACTTCCTTCCATGCCTTCTGGTCTCAAGTAGCATTGTCATGTAGAGATTCAGAACCTGTCCCTCTAATACTTTCAGTGTAAATTATTATGCACTTCTAAAGCTTTTGCTCTAGGGAATAGAGATTTAAAACTTTTAAACAGTCCCAATAATTTAGATTTTTTATTGAATGGATTCCAGCAGTAAAAGATCTTTGCACGTTCTCCTAGTCAGCAATTTCTCCAGCTTTGAATGAGGCTGTTATTGTGCAACCATATTCCACCCTTGGGGTCTTGAATATCACTGGTATAGTATTTCTTGTTTGAAAGGTTCTTGCTATCAAACTGGTGGCAGTATCACTGGGAACTGTCAGCTCCCCATGTCAACACTTCTCAATCCAGAGCCCAGGAAAACACCACATCTGGTTGGAAAAGGGAAAAGGACCAGGGAGCCACTGAGGCCCAACCAAAAAGATGCTTCATTATATTCAATGCTGATTTTCTGGAGGTGCCATACAGTGGCTCCCTGAAGCTTACTAAGTATGGAGAAGAAAACTGACTTACCATACCAGGGAGGAGAAGAGCATCACGCCCTCAAAGAGGAAAGACCAGAAAGGGAAATTCTACCCAAAGCAACACAAGACACAAGCCCAACATAGACCAGGAACACTGACCTGGTACCGAGCTGCCTGGACCCTGTCAGACCCCAAAGATAGGAAATCAGCCCAAGACAATGTGGAAAATGTGGCAGTCAGAGATACGGATTTATAAACATCAAAGGACCATAGGTAGACTGCAGGCTGGTTAACTTAATGACACTGTGGGACAACCTGAGATAAATGAGTCTTGGAACTGGGAACTATGGAGAAGGAATTGACAAACAATACATCTTCTTGAGCAGCCCATGTGCTGTGAGGGTAGTGACAAACTGCCTCAACCATACACAACAAATGATGCATCCTGTGCCAAATAAACCAAGAATCCATAACCAAAGAACCCCTCCTGAAGTCAACCTACTCCTTCCTTGCCAGAAAAGAAGGGTGCAAACACAACCATCTCCCCAGTAGAGCAAAAATGTTCCCATCCTAAAAACCAGAGGTAAGGACCAACAAGAACAGAGCTTTGAAAAATGGTATGGACGGAAAGGGTGGTTTTTCTTTCGTCTCCTCAGTTCTCAAACGCCTTATCAAGAGACCAGGATGGCTTGGAAGGAGCAGGCTGGAGGTGCAACCTGTCCTCTTACAAATAAAGTCTGAATCTGGCCGGTTGCCCGTATGGCCAAAAATGAACGTAATTTGAAAATTAAAATTAATTGAAAATAAATTTTGGAATTTTTTTTCCAAAACGGCAAGTTAACACATTCGTTCCTTAAGGACGGTGATGACGTCTACAAATAACTCTACGGATGTTCCTTAGGGACGTAGGTGACGTCCAAAATTAAAATATTTGTTAAAATTCAAGTTTTTATCTGATCTTCATGGAACTGGTTTTAAAATGTGCGCCAACAACTTCCCATTCTATTGCAAACTCAGGTGAAAATTGAGGTGAGAAACCTAATAAGAGTAAATATATTTTTGAGCAGGTGTTGCAGGTGTGCCAATGGGTGCTCGCTCCTGGATAACGCTTGGCCGACTTTTGGCTTTGCTGTGGGTAGGGGTGCACCGGGGTTTTTTACCTTGTATGCATATATCCCTGTAGGGAATTCCATTGCTAAAAAATTGATATAAAAATGAAAGACGTAGCATGAGAATTGAGGCGACAAAAGTGAAAAAAGTAGACATTATATTGCTCTTGGGCGATCGCGGGTAACGCTCGGCCGATTTCTGGGTTTGGTGCAGGTGGAATGTCGGTCTTTTGGACCTTGTATGTATATACTCCTGTAGGGGATTCTATTGCGAACATTTTGATACCAACTTGAACGATGTACAATGGAAATTGAGGTGAGAAACTTGAAGAGTAAATACATTTGTGAGCGGGTGTTGCGGGTGTGTCAATGGGTGCTCGTTCACGGATAGTGCTTGGCAAAAAGGACAGCAAAACAGACAACAAAGGTCAAAAACATGTTCAACATATACATAAGACTACAGTAAAAAAAAAAAAAAAGTCGAGACATGAAGATCAAACCAGCAAGGAACATCTCCGGATCCATTTGCTTAAAGAGAGTTGTGGAAAAACACCCAGGTTTGGACACTGGGCTAGAAGAGCTAGAAACAAAGGCTGAGCCAGCCTCTCTTTCTACAGAGCCAGAAGGATCACTCTACCTGTGAAGAGCTCCAATCTGGACAATACCTGGAGTAATAGCTGAACTGGAGGGAAAATATAAATAAACCCTCATTTCAATCAGTTCGGTCAAAAGGCATCCACTGAAGACAATGAATAGGAAAATGGCCATGCAATAGGAAAATGGAGCCACGTAGGAAAGAAACCACTGGTTCCATGCCAACTTGAAGAGGTCAACCAGGAACACCATCCAGGAATCCATCTGGGTTTACAGGTGGATATGAGCTAATGTGGTCAAACAAGGATTGAAGGTGTTCCTTGTATGGCCAGGGGAGCAGAAACAGCCAAGACACCTACTGAAAAAAGGGGAGTGATCTCTACCACTCCAGAATCCAACTTAGACGGCAAAACCGAAGAGAGCTGTGGAGAGAACACCTGACTCGAGGCCCCTGTAGCTACAAGAGGAAGAGTGGACTAATGTCATTGATGACCCTGGGAGACAATTTAAAAGACCCATACAATGAGGAACTAGGAACTGGCAAAATGGACCAGATGTCTCCCTACAGCACAGTCAAAGCAGGAAACTCCTAAAGGGCCAGTGCGAAAACCCCAGAGCAAAAGCACCATTTTGTGATGCCTAAGAACAATGCCAACCAAATGAAGCCAAGACCACAAGAAGCACCAAGGTCTGAGAATTGGGCTCCATCAGAGGCCTACCTTGACCAATCACAGGCGAGAACCTAACCCAGGAAGACTGCCTTCTGACTGAGGGGGCTGGAATGCAGCAGCTGCAGCTGAAAAACTGAAGCAGCCACTACAGGAAAACATAAAGATGAAATAGAAGAAATAGACAATAGCTTTAAAAGACAAAGTTAAAACTAAGACCTGGAAATCCACTAAAAGCAAAGATGTATGAGATAAGCCAGGAAAGACAGCCACCGCCTCCTGAAGAAGAGGAACGAGCAATTTGGGCAAAGCCGACGAAGCCCATACTACGGAAAACAAGGCTGTGACACCCAGCACCTAAGTTAAAACATCCAAGCTGCCCTGGAGCTGGTTGGAGAACAGCCCAAAAGTGCAGAGCAGATGTCAAATGAACACAGAACCTATGAATCACTGTGGTCTGGGCTTCAGAAGGCCAAAGCAACTGCTCACAGAGCACCCACAAGTCCTTCACTTGCTACTTAAGCACTTGGGTATGGCAAAAGCTGTGCTAAACCCAGACAACTTTCTGACAACCCAAGGAAACAGGGTTGTCAGAAAGAAACTGGAACCTGGAAAAGCAACCAAAAGGCCGAAGCTAATCTGAACCCAAAAGAAGCTGGGTCCCTGAGGGAAGAGAACTCCTGCACCTGCAGAAGGAACCGAAAAAGACTGACCGAGCCACAGAAGATGGGAAAGTGGAATCCTCCTGAAACATGACACATCCAAGGACACTTAATAGTACACACAAGGAAACCCATGGAGGAACAGATGAGGAATGAAGGTCAAACATAGGGAATGACCCCACCCAAGCTTAAAAAAATACCCCTCTGAGGGAATCCAGTGACAATGACAGGGTGAAAGGCACCCAGGGATCCACCTTGGGCTCCTCCCCAGCCCAGAAAGTCCAAAATTAAGAGTCTGGGACAAAGCAGAGTTCTGTACCTGATACCTGAACAGATAGGAAGGCATCCCCAAACTCTAAAAGGATCTCAACCAAATACATTCCCTAGACTAGAGAAATTTATGATAATGGATTGCCAGAAGGAAGTAATAGCTCGACTATCTCTAACATTGACATGGAAGGGGAGATCCTCAGAGAAGACAGGGCTACACCCCACAGCGAACTGCAACTTTGACTCTGATATCCTCAGACATCCTGAAGCCTGGAGCACAAGGGGAAGGGGATGGGCACAAAGAGTTCATTGAACCATGCCAGACAATGCAAGAAGAAATAATGGACATAGCACTAAAAGAAATGCCAATCACTACAATTCCAAAACCGAGAGTGGGGCAGACTACAGGGCAACCACCTGGGCACCAAGCCGCAAATACAAATTAACAAATGAATCTGAAGTGACCGCTACTTGTGGAGCCTCGTCACTACAAAATAAAACAAATGCCAAAAGATGGAAGCTTTAACAAAAATTGAGATCCAGCAAATCCAAATTATGCAGGTCTTTGGATAGTGTAATACCCACTTTAACAGGCAGCAGAGGGAGACAAAACAAATGATTATCAGTATGTAGAAAAACAGATGGGCATCCCTCAAATTCTGAAGCAGTAATTGCAGGCTCAGTCTAGTTATAACAAGCCACACCAAAGATCCACAGGGCTTGCCAGGGCCTAAAGGTATCAGGCCAGTTGTCAGTTTTATTTTGCTAACTTTCTGAATGTTTCCAGATTGTATTGTAACAATCCCCTAACCACTGTACCTCAGAGGAGGAGGGGAGGGGGGGGGGGGGGAACAGTTCTGTCTCTGGTTTTCAGTAGCCTATTAAGGACTTCCCGGGCTGATTTGACTAATAAAGTGTGCAGCTATCTCAGTGTGGTTAGCTTCAAGAATCCATCATTCAGCCCATCCCAAAAAACTAAAAACCCTAGTTAGACTTTTCTTGCTTTGCAGAACCTCATTACTGTATTTGGTATCAAAATTATCTCAATATCAATATATACAATTAATTATACATAATTTAATGTACAAAAGTTATAAAAAAACATACATGACATAAATCAAGTTTTAATAAAAATGAGGCACTAAAAGACAGTGCCATGTTACATAAATCATTATGCACTCTTAAATTATTTGTTGTACACAAGTCACAAACACCACTCGGAATGTGAGTATGGCAGTGCTCCTGGTTTCTTGTGTTATGCTGAAATATGTTTTAGTTTTCTTTATATACATATATGCAAGAAAACAACAAGTGCTGGAGTAACACCAGAGGCCAGAAGAACTGTCATACTCACACGTCGCCTAACTTTTCATTATACTGTAAAGCCAGTAATGCTCTGCCCTTCTTTTTACAAGAGTTTAACACCATAATTATTTTTAAATGATATTCCTGTAACAAACATACACATTAGTAAATCAAATTCATAATAATGATACAAATAAAACATTCATAAAATCATTTCCACTGCGACTACTTTTTCACAGGGTATCAAAAGCTTGTGACAACAGCTGTGGCTGGAGTGTTGGCAACTGCCCTGGGTGATACTGCCTAGGGTGTCATCCTCTGGTGCTACTGTTCCCGGGTGTAGCCCTCAGCTGGTGACAGCCACCCTCAAGTTTCCTCATCACCAGGGGTGTAGCCCACTGGTGGTGCTGCACCCCAGGGGTGGCACCAACAGGAATGTAGCCCTCTGGTGATGCTACACCCAGGGGTGGCACAGATAGTGTTGTCATCCATGTTTGGTATTGACAGCTTGAACCAAGCTCATCCTCTATTCACTATTACATTCTTATATATTTTTTAAATAAAATCATTTTGCTAGAATTAATTCTGCAGTCCAAGTCTAGGGCCTATGGATTGGCTCTTCAGTAATTTGGAGTGGGATAAGAGCGAAAAATTAACAAGAATCAAATGCTATTTGATCCTGCTTTGTTCATGTTAATTCACTATATATATAGATGTTAATAGTAAGCCCATTTTCCTCCCTTTGCCCTAAACTGCAACATTTGTCTCTAATAAAGTACAATGTAATAAAATAATAGATTTTTACTTAATGCAACAGGATTACAATCAGACAGAACCGCTACTGAAAAGTGGTCTTGAATTTTTACTGCATATATGAAAAACTATCTTTTTCCTTTAAGCTATCAATCAAGTACACACAGAGTATCCTGTACTAATCATAATGTTGCCAAGTAACACAATAACATTTATAATTTTTAACAATAATTCCTCACCACCCCATGAAGTGGGGAAATAAGATTATGATGTACTGGATAGTAAACCAAATTCAATTGAAAACTTAGTCATCTCCTTAAATTTAACAATGAAACACCTTGCTTAATAGGGTAACTTTTGAGGAGATACAAGATAGCCCTGGAAACACAAACCGAAACTGTCTGTATCTTCTGCTTGTTACAATTTGTAATAAAGTTGTTACATCTTGGCTTAACGTGTTTATGACGTATTAGAACGTTGTTACAACTTGCTATATTGGTTGTTATAACTGGTTAGGTGTTAAAACTTGTTCAAACGTTGTACCAACGTCGTAGTTTCGGTGTGTGTTTCGCGGGAATACATACCATTATGCCAAAGAACTTAAATCAGAGGCATTTCACTGCATATTGTGTAGCTCTTAACACGTGAAAATGCCAAAGAAGGAAACTTGTTTGTATCACTTACGTCAATCTGTGACATATTTTGCTTATCATCGTAATAGACAGATACAATTGTATAGTTCCGCCACATTAGCATCCAGTGAGGCCTCTCTTTTGCTGGTCGAATCTCGAACTCCTAGGAAAAAAACAAAATTTCAACTTCTCCATACTGTACATCATAAATCCAAAATTTCCTCTAAATTGATGAACCCACACAGTCCTTCCTTTTCACAGTAATTCATAATAGAGTATCTTACAAACCACAAGTCCTTCATTTTGAAAATGTCAGGCAATTAGTTCATGGCTTGATCATGGCCAAATTTAGTTAGAGATGCAACCTTTGTTGAAATACACCACAAAAGTGGTGAAGTAATAGAAGGGTTAACCCTGCATGCTGATGGACCCCTCAAATTCTAGTTAAAACAAAAATATTTATGCAAGTGGATTGGTAGGATGAAGGTTGGTGGTAGCGAGTAGGTACTCGCATAGTTGTACTTGTGGGGGTTGAGCTTTAGCTCTTTGGTCCCGCCTCTCCACCATCAATCTACTGGTAATTACCCAAGTGTAATTACCTGAGTGTAGTTACAGGATAAGAGCTACACTTGTGGTGTCCCGTCATATAACGCTTTGAAACTACTGACGGTTTCGGCCTCCACCACTTTCTCACTTAACTTGTTCCGTCTATCACTGTTTGCAAAAGTGAATTTTCATATTTCTTTGGCATCTGTGTTTAGCTAGTTTAAATCTATGACCTCTTGTTCTTAAAGTTTCAGGTCTCGGGAAATCTTCCCTATTGATTTTATCAATTCGTTACTATTTTGTATGTAGTGATCATATCACCTCTTTTTCTATCTTCTAGTTTTGGCATATTTAATGCCTCTAACCTCTCCTCGTAGCTTTTGCCCTTCAGTTCTGGGAGTCACTTAGTAGCATGTCTTTGCACCTTTTCCAGTTTGTTGATGTACTTCTTAAGATATGAGCACCACATAACTGCTGCATATTCTAGCTTTGGCCTAACAAAAGTCATGAACAATTTCTTTAGTATTTTGCCATACATGTATTTAAAAGCAATTCTGAAGTTAGAAAGCGTGGCACATGCACATGAGCTCCTCGCACAACGTTCTTTATGTGGTCCTCGGGTGATAGTTTTCTATCTAGAACCACTCCTAGATCTCTTTCTTTATCAGAATTCTTTGAAGATTTCTCACATAATTTATAGGTTGTGTGGGGTCTATGTTCTCCTATTCCACTTCCATAACATGGCATTTATTCACATTAAATTCCATTTGCCAAGTGGTGCTCCATATACTTATTTTATCCAGGTCTTCTTGAAGGGCATGACAATTGTCTAAGTTTCTTATCCTTCCTATTATCTTAGCATCATCAGCAAACATGTTCATATAATTCTGTATTCCATCAGCTAGATCATTTATGTTGACAATGAACATCACCAGTGCAAGAACTGAACCCTGTGGTACTTCACTTATGACATTTCTCCAGTCTAATTCATTGCCTCTGATTACTGCCCTCATTTTTCTATCAGTCAAAATTTTTCATCCATGTTAGAAGTTTACCTGTCACCCCTCCAATATTTTCCAGTTTCCAGAACAACCTCTTATGTGGAACTCAGTTGAAAGCCTTTTTTAGGTCCAAATAGATGCAGTCAACCCAACCATCTCTTTCCTGTGAAATCTCTGTGGCTCGATCATAGAAACTGAGTAAATTCGATACACAGGATCTTCCAGATAGAAAACCATACTGTCTGATATTATCATTTCTCTCCAGGTGTTCTACCCATTTAGTTTTTAGTTTTCCAATGCTTTCACTATTACACTTGTCAATGATACAGGTCTATAATTGAGGGGGTCTTCCCTGCTGCCACTTTTGTAGATTGGAACTATGTTAGCCTTTTTCCACACATCTGCTACGACTCCTATACACAGGGATGTCGGAAAAATCAGCTGAAGTGGAATGCTGAATGGTGTACAGATTCCTGAGCTTTTCAAGCTCTATCATATCTACATTTGAAACTGTGTATGGAGTCAGCCTCCACCACATAATTTCCTAGTGCATTCCATTTACTAACTACTCTGACACTGAAAAAGTTTTTTTCTAATGTGTGGGTGGCTCACTTGGGTACACAGCTTACACTTATGTACCCTTGTGCGTTTACCACCTGTGTTAAATAATCCACCCTTCTCTACCCTGTCAATTCCCATGAGAAATTTGTATGTGGTGAGCATGTCTCCCTAAGTGCTTCATCTTCCAGCAATGTAAGGGATGGGGGGGGGGCAGTTCATGCAGCCTTTCCTCATCACCCATGCCTCTTAGTTCAGAGACTAGCCTGAGAACCCCATGTTGATGTTGTGTTACAAAAGTCTTTCGCTCCAGATGTTCCAATAGCTTTTTTCGTACAATCTTCTCCATCATCTTGCATGATATGCAAGTTAGGGACACTGGCCTGTAGTTTAGTACCTCCTATCTATCACCCTTCTTGAATATCGGACTACATTAGCCACCTTCTTAATTTTTGGCAGTTCAACTGTTACCAGTGATTTGTTGTACACCATGGAGTGGCGCAGGCACAGAGTTTCTGCTCCTTTAGTATACATGGTGAGATTCCATCCGGGCCTTTAGTCTGTCACATCCAAATCTAGCAGATGCTTCCTCACCTCCCCACTGGTAATCACAAACTCCCCCTAGTGGTGTTTGGTTAGATATTCCCCCTCTTATCTCTGGGACTTCACCTTGCTCTACTGTGAAGACCACCTGGAATTTCTTATTGAGCTCCTCGCACATTTCCTTGGCGTTTGTAGCAAGTCTGTCTGCCCCTATCCTCGGTTTTATTACCTGTTCCTTCACTTTTTTTTTCTGATGTGGCTGTGCAGCAATTTAGGTCTTTGTCTCTGTCATTTTCATATTGTCGATCTGCCTCTCTTCTCACCCTGACGTATTCATTCCTGGTGCTCTGGTATCTTTCTCTGCCCTCTAGTGTCCTGTTATTTCTAGTGTTTCTTCATGCCCTTGAACTTAGTTACTTTGCTAGCTTACATCTGATTAAACCATGGGTTTAGTCAGGTAGCTGATTCATTATGAATGGGTGGTTGGTTTAGTGGATAGTTAATGAGTGGTTGATGTAGATGGGCAATAGATGACTGTTAAGGGGTGACTTTATGGAATCATCTTTAATCCAAAGCAAAAACACTAAAGTGTAACTTACTATTTGGAAGATGGTCTCTGCAACGTCGGTGGTTCCTCCAATACATCTGCGACCTTTCCTCCTATTGCTCATCTTTTCACGAGACCAACGCTTAAACATCAGCGAGATGCTAGTTCCATGGATGCGATAATGTCCAATGAGCGTCTGAATATTAAAAAACTAAATAATAGTTTTTATAATGAAACAATAAGACATCTTTATATATCCGAGACATAATAGCAATCCCTCCATGTACTGCAACAGTTTTAACTTTCATGACAGCTTTGAATGTAAAGTTTGAGTTCAACTGTTGGTACAGTAATAAAAAATATCTAAGCAATAAAGCATTCCAATCTGCAAGATGACCTTGAGAGCAATATCAGAGGTTAAGGGTACTTTCTAACATCATTACTCCACTCTCATAATCAAACCTTTAAAAAAAAATCATAAGATATCCCTACTAGGGATACTTAATTGCTAGAAACAGATAAATTTAAAAGGAGAGAGAATTATATACAGTACTGTATGCCAAATTTTAAAAGTCTGGCCCTAAGTTGGGCCTGGGGAGAACTACTCCTCTCAGAACCCACCCTGGGTATATACTCCTGGTAATCGTCATAAATTCTGAAAATTATCTAGCTAGCACAAATTAGCAATTTACCATCATGCAATCTTTGAATAATTGTGCATTTGGTTTTAAAAAGTGTGCAAAGCATTAATGCTGGAATCTATATATTTTTGCAAAGTACAATCTGCAAATTTATTTAAATATAGATCCAATGTTACTGCTGGATGCATAAGGACAAATGGATTCCCACCCTGCCCAGAATTGAAATTTAGGACCTCTCATTTATGAAGCTAGCTAACTGCTGCACTACAGGTCTTTTCTACTGGCACACAGAGGATCGTCTTGTAATACAAACCTGTGGATTTCGCACTTCTCTAGTTCGTAACTGAGAAACAATAGTCGATGGCTCGTCGGAAGTAGTTAACATGGTGACGATGCCATTCGGAAAGAATCTGAGAAAGATGTACAAGGTAAATTCAATGGTATAATGACTGTGTACTCTATTCACCAAACTTAGCACTGTACTTATACCATACGAAAGCTCATGTGTGCGCGCACATTTAATTTCATATAAAAATGTAAAGATTTCATATAAAGAACTTGCAGCATAAACAATGGAATATACATCATGCTATAGATAAATTTTGCACAAAGACAATACAGTACTCACTGGCATCTGATGTCAATGTTTGTACAGTACTACCAAGGGTGAAGTAAACATTTCTTCTATCATATTTCTTTCTGGGTCTATCTTATTTTGTGAAGCTACACATCTGCCCTCACCTTAGATATCGATAGTAATGGACTAAGTGCCAAGGTTGGTAGTTCTGATCTTGAAAGCTGCTTTCTCCAGCACGGAAGTAAGTTGTACGAGAAATGTAGCAGCCATTGTAGCGTGGGTGGGGACGGTGAATGAACATCTCTCGCCATGATCCATATGCACCCAATACTCCACAATTGATCCCCCAAATCCTAAGTAAATACAAAGTTTCTGTTTAAATATGGCAACTTTAACACACACACACACACACACACACACACACACACACACACACACACACACACACACACACACACACACACACACAGGTTGAAGCAGTTGAAAAACCAGACTTCAGGAGAGGACATTATGGTGACCTTAGAAATTTTTTTAGTGAGTATAATTGGACAGACTTGATGCTAGGCAAGGAAGTGAATGAGATGTATGGCAAGTTTTGTGAAATATATGATAAAGGCACAAAAAAATTTATACCAAAACAGAGATGCAGAACTAGGAAACAGGATTGGTTCAATAGAAATTGCGAGAGGGCTAGAGACCGAAAGACACAAAAATGGAATCAATACAGGAAGAGGCCGAACCCCCAAACATACCAGCGATACAAAGATGCGAGAAACAACTACACGGCAGTGAGGAGAGAGGCAGAAAGAAATTTTGAAAAAGGGATTGCGGACAAATGTAAAACAGAACCAGGTCTATTCTATAAATTCATAAACAACAAATTGCAGGTAAAGGATAATATTCAGAGGTTGAAAATGGGAAATAGATTCACGGAAGATGAAAAGGAAATGTGTGAAACACTAAACGAAAAGTTCCAAAGTGTGTTTGTACAAAATGAAATCTTTAGGGAACCAGATACAATAAGAATTCCAGAGAACAACATAGAACACATAGAGGTGTCTAGAGACGAAGTGGAAAAAATGCTCAAGGAGCTCGGTAAGAACAAAGCAGCTGGCCCAGATGGCGTTTCACCATGGGTTCTGAGAGAATGTGCATCTGAGCTCAGCATTCCACTTCACCTGATCTTTCAGGCATCCCTGTGTACAGGAATCGTAGCAGACGGGTGGAAACAGGCTAACATAGTTCCAATCTACAAAAGTGGCAGCAGGGAAGACCCCCTCAATTATAGACCTGTATCATTGACAAGTGTAATAGTGAAAGTATTGGAAAAACTAATCAAAACTAAATGGGTAGAACACCTAGAGAGAAATGATATAATATCAGACAGACAGTATGGTTTTCGATCTGGAAGATCCTGTGTATCGAATTTACTCAGTTTCTATGATCGAGCCACAGAGATATTACAGGAAAGAGATGGTTGGGTTGACTGCATCTATCTGGACCTAAAAAAGGCTTTCGACAGAGTTCCACATAAGAGGTTGTTCTGGAAACTGGAAAATATTGGAGGGGTGACAGGTAAGCTTCTATCATGGATGAAAAATTTTCTGACTGATAGAAAAATGAGGGCAGTAATCAGAGGCAATGTATCAGAATGGAGAAATGTCACAAGTGGAGTACCACAGGGTTCAGTTCTTGCACCAGTGATGTTTATTGTGTACATAAATGATCTACCAGTTGGTATACAGAATTATATGAACATGTTTGCTGATGATGCTAAGATAATAGGAAGGATAAGAAATTTAGATGACTGTCATGCCCTTCAAGAAGACCTGGACAAAATAAGTATATGGAGCACCACTTGGCAAATGGAATTTAATGTTAATAAATGTCATGTTATGGAATGTGGAATAGGAGAACATAGACCCCACACAACCTGTATATTATGTGAGAAATCTTTAAAGAATTCTGATAAAGAAAGAGATCTAGGAGTGGTTCTAGATAGAAAACTATCACCTGAGGACCACATAAAGAATATTGTGCAAGGAGCCTATGCTATGCTTTCTAACTTCAGAATTGCATTTAAATACATGGATGGCGATATACTAAAGAAATTGTTCATGACTTTTGTTAGGCCAAAGCTAGAATATGCAGCTGTTGTGTGGTGCCCATATCTTAAGAAGCACATCAACAAACTGGAAAAGGTGCAAAGACATGCTACTAAGTGGCTCCCAGAACTGAAGGGCAAGAGCTACGAGGAGAGGTTAGAAGCATTAAATATGCCAAAACTAGAAGACAGAAGAAAAAGAGGTGATATGATCACTACGTACAAAATAGTAACAGGAATTGATAAAATCGACAGGGAAGACTTCCTGAGACCTGGAACATCAAGAACAAGAGGCCATAGATTTAAACTAGCTAAACACAGATGCCGAAGAAATATAAGAAAATTCACCTTCGCAAATAGAGTGGTAGACGGTTGGAACAAGTTAAGTGAGAAGGTGGTGGAGGCCAAGACCGTCAGTAGTTTCAAAGCGTTATATGACAAATAGTGCTGGGAAGACGGGACACCACGAGCGTAGCTCTCATCCTGTAACTACACTTAGGTAATTACACTTAGGTAATTACACACACACACACACACACACACACACACACACACACACACACACACACACACACACACACACACACACACAGGTGAGGTGAAGCTGGAGGAGGCAGAAGTCACACTGCAGCAAGCTCCTGGAAATATCGAATTACCTAAGTATTGGGAACAGGTTGAGGGCTACAGTGGTGTCCCAGGTTACATAAAGGTTCAGGGAAGAGTAAAAGCAAATAAAATACAATAAACAAGTAAAAGTGAGTGAAAATAGCCGAGTGGAAAAGTTTGTTTTGGTCTAGAACAAAATCAAAGATGGCCGCCGCCACCACCCCCACTGAGAAGGTAGACACACCATCAGATGATGGTTTCAAAGGATTCTCAACACAAGATATAAGGAAAGGAGGTGTTCTTGGCAGGTTAGAGATAATTGAGGACATGCAAATGAAGTATGAAGAAAAAGTGCTTAAATTAGAAGAGGACAATGGAGCTCTTTGGAGTGAGCTTTGCACTCTAAAAGGGAGTATGCTTCAACAAGGTAAGATTATTACTGCATTAACAGACAAGGTAACAAATCAGGAGGAGCAAATCAAGGAACTAGTGAAAGAAAATGAGGCATGGAAAGTGAAGTGTGGTGACTTTGAAGAAATAAACAAAAAGATAGACTCATGGTGAACAACTCCAAGCAAGCCTAAGGGCTAACATAGAGTTAGGTAAGGATCTCCAACTGGAAACTTCACTGACAACTCACATAGAGGAGGTGAATAAAGAACTAGAAAAGTATAAAGAAGAAATAAAAGCGACATATGCTCAAGTTGTAAAAGAGAAAGAGACTATCAAAGAAGTGTGTTCGGAAGTCAAAACCAGAAATGACCAACAAGAAGCAGAAATTAGGCAAGCAATTAGGAAAGAACTGGTTACCAACAGTAAACTGGTACAAAACACTGCAGATAGAACTAAGTCCATAATCATTTTTGGATGTTTAGAGAAGGAAATTTCATCTAGGGTGGACCGAGCGGCAGAAGAGATGAAAATCATAGAGAAAATAGTAGGTTTAGGAGAAGGCTCAAAGGAAAATGTCAGTGATTTTAGAAGAATAGGAAAATATGAGAAAGAAAAGAACCGCCCCTTAAGGGTGACCTTTAATGGAGTGAAAAACATGATGGAAGTGCTAAGAAATGCCAGGAAACTGCAGAGTGATGAGGTTGGCAAATCTTGGTCAATAAGACAAGACCTCTCCAAGGAAGACAGAGAAAAGCTGAAAATGAACTTAATTGAGGCAAAACGTCTAAATGGGGATAGAAATGAAGAAGACAGAAATTCTTTTTTTTACAAAGTGACAGGGACTGGAAAGCTTGTGAAATGGTACATAAAAACAAAGCAACAAGATCAGTAGTGGAAGGGGGAGTAAAGAGCAAAGGAAAAGGGAACATGTTCCTGAAAATTGTATATACCAACATAGATGGAGTGAGGTCAAAAACTTTGGAGTTGCAAGATATAATCCAGCTTAGGGTCCCAGATATTGTTGCATTATCAGAAACGAAACTTGAAGGAAATATAATAAATGAAGTCATATTCCCAAGAGGCTACTCAGTTTGGAGACGTGACAGGAAAACTAGGAAGGGAGGAGGAGTGGCTGTACTGGTGAAAAAACACCTGAAGGTAAAAGAGTTAATATTTGAAAACCCTCGAGATATTGACATAATGGCATTGCAGGTCTGGAATCAGGATGATAACCTGATAATTGTAAATACCTACAGCCCACCAGCAAGCAACACGTGGACAAAGGAAGAACTGGATGACAAACGAGAGGGCCTCATAATGGTCATGAGAGATATTATTGTACAAGCAGATAAAGATAAATCACGACTGTTGATACTGGGGGACTTCAACTTTAGAGCAATAGACTGGGAGGCCTATGAAGCAAGAACGGAGGACTTTTGGACATGCAGATTTGTGAACCTCATTCTGGAGACATTCTTGTATCAACACATAAAGCAAGCCACAAGAATGAGGGAAGGAGATATACCGTCAGTACTGGATCTAGTATTCACCAGGAAAGAAGAAGAGATTTTTGACATCCAGTACCTTCCTCCCTTGGGAAAGAGTGATCACGTCCTGTTAGACATTAAATATGCTTTAAGATATCATCTAGAAGAAAATGGGGACATTGAAACAGTTGATAAACTCGATTTAAAGAGAGGCAACTATGGGGAACTTCGAAATTTTTTTAATGAGTGTAATTGGACAGAATTGTTGCTAGGCAGGGAAGTAAATGAAATGTATGCCAAATTTTTAAAACTATACGAGGAAGGCACACAAACATTCATACCAAAACAGAGATGCAGGACCAGAAAACAGGATTGGTTCGACAGAAATTGTGAGAGGGCAAGAGACCAAAAGACACAAAAATGGAATCAGTATAGGAAGAGGCCAAACCCCCAAACATACCAGCGATACAAAGATGCGAGAAACAATTATACAGCAGTAAGGAGAGAGGCAGAAAGAAATTTTGAAAAAGGGATAGCAGATAAATGTAAAACAGAACCGGGCCTATTCTACAAATTCATAAACAACAAATTGCAGGTAAAGGATAATATCCAGAGGTTGGAAATGGGAAACAGATTCACGGAAAATGAAAAGGAAATGTGTGAAACATTAAATGAAAAGTTCCAAAGTGTGTTTGTACAAAATGAAATCTTCAGAGAACCAGACACAATAAGAATTCCAGAGAACAACATAGAGCGGATAGAGGTGTCTAGAGATGAAGTGGAAAATATGCTAAAGGAGCTCGGGAGGAACAAAGCAGCTGGCCCAGATGGCGTTTCACCATGGGTTCTGAGAGAATGTGCATCTGAGCTCAGCATTCCACTTCACCTGATCTTTCAGGCATCCCTGTGTACAGGAATCGTAGCAGACGTGTGGAAACAGGCTAACATAGTTCCAATCTACAAAAGTGGCAGCAGGGAAGACCCCCTCAATTATAGACCTGTATCATTGACAAGTGTAATAGTGAAAGTATTGGAAAAGCTAATCAAAACTAAATGGGTAGAACACCTGGAGAGAAATGATATAATATCAGACAGACAGTATGGTTTTCGATCAGGAAGATCCTGTGTATCGAATTTACTCAGTTTCTATGATCGGGCCACAGAGATATTACAGGAAAGAGATGGCTGGGTTGACTGCATCTATCTGGACCTAAAAAAGGCTTTCGACAGAGTTCCACATAAGAGGTTGTTCTGGAAACTGGAAAATATTGGAGGGGTGACAGGTAAGCTTCTATCATGGATGAAAAATTTTCTGACTGATAGAAAAATGAGGGCAGTAATCAGAGGCAATGTATCGGAATGGAGAAATGTCACAAGTGGAGTACCACAGGGTTCAGTTCTTGCACCAGTGATGTTTATTGTGTACATAAATGATCTACCAGTTGGTATACAGAATTATATGAACATGTTTGCTGATGATGCTAAGATAATAGGAAGGATAAGAAATTTAGATGATTGTCATGCCCTTCAAGAAGACCTGGACAAAATAAGTATATGGAGCACCACTTGGCAAATGGAATTTAATGTTAATAAATGTCATGTTATGGAATGTGGAATAGGAGAACATAGACCCCACACAACCTATATATTATGTGAGAAATCTTTAAAGAATTCTGATAAAGAAAGAGATCTAGGAGTGGTTCTAGATAGAAAACTATCACCTGAGGACCACATTAAGAATATTGTGCAAGGAGCCTATGCAATGCTTTCTAACTTCAGAATTGCATTTAAATACATGGATGGCGATATACTAAAGAAGTTGTTCATGACTTTTGTTAGGCCAAAGCTAGAATATGCAGCTGTTGTGTGGTGCCCATATCTTAAGAAGCACATCAACAAACTGGAAAAGGTGCAAAGACATGCTACTAAGTGGCTCCCAGAACTGAAGGGCAAGAGCTACGAGGAGAGGTTAGAAGCATTAAATATGCCAAAACTAGAAGACAGAAGAAAAAGAGGTGATATGATCACTACGTACAAAATAGTAACAGGAATTGATAAAATCGACAGGGAAGACTTCCTGAGACCTGGAACTTCAAGAACAAGAGGCCATAGATTTAAACTAGCTAAACACAGATGCCGAAGAAATATAAGAAAATTCACCTTCGCAAATAGAGTGGTAGACGGTTGGAACAAGTTAAGTGAGAAGGTGGTGGAGGCCAAGACCGTCATCCTGTAGTTTCAAAGCGTTATATTGTACAAACAATATAACATACATCTTACACTGTATTTTAGTAAGAGTGCTGAAATAGGGGAAGACAGGGGCTAACCATCCAAGGACGAGCAAAAGGTAGTAGCTCTCATCCTGTAACTACACTTAGATTCAGGGGTTTGGGGTTGGAAGTCCTCCTTGAGCACAATATTATCTCGAAGGGGTTGGACTTTGGTATGGTCATGTTAATCGCCTCATTTTCAATCAAGTATACAAGACACAAATATCCCTTATAATTACAAGTCAACAGACTATGTACTGTCACTTTATTTTATTAGTTGTTCAAAACTCACATCAACCTTTTTGCTCACCTGAGGCAGGCTTTGTGCCAAATCTCTGGATTTCTGGCTACCAGGTAAAAGCCCTGGCAAACTCTGGAGACCTGCTCTAATGAGCGCATATCCAAATCGCTGCCAACTACCCAACACATGATACGCTCCAGCATCTCGGGGGGCAGACATGATATGTGAGGAGCCTGTAATACACACAACACAAAGTACTGTTCAAAGATCCTTACAGGCAACATTTTCCTTCCACTTCATTTACATAATAAATGTCGTATAAAATAATAAGACAAAAAATTGCAAGCAAGCAATAGAAAAATATTCCCCTCTATACTCCAAAGCAAATGTAACCAAAGCAATATGTTACTAATAAAATACCTTAATGCAAGGATAAGATAAGTGTAATATGTGATAGTGATTATAGTAAAGAAAAGTCGGTTAGACAATCTATATAAAGAAGTTGTGGTGGCTGACATGACGTGGATGTATGGAAGTCGACTGTCATCTCACACGTGACACTTGATCTTGTGCCTCACATTAACACTCATTCACTTGCTCTTCTATCCATCCCTCACTAATTTAGATAAAATGAACTCATTCAGTTACCTAAACTTTGGGGTAAAACAACTAACCTAAGAGATATGAAGTCATTCAAGTTAATCTCAAGAAAACTGTAACCTCTTTAAAATTTACATATAATTTCACTCATCATTTGTAATAATCGTGTCACTCACCACTAATGAGTGACAAAACAGATGCTAGTTTAAACTATAGTTTCTGATATGGAGCAGAAAAGTGAGTGCCTCACTGCCCTATGAGTAGGAAACAGAATAAATATGATGATAATGATAATACTATACAAACATGATGCTAGAAATAATTCTTTGCACAGTCAAAAGTCTTAACATTCAGCAGGAAAGATGTTTGAGCAACATTGCCTTACATATAATGTGGCTGTTTACCCAACAATGAATAGGTACCTAAGAGCTAGTCCACTGTTGTGGGTGGTTGCATCCTAAGAAAAGGTCAGTGGCTGGCTTCAGGAGAACATTGATAGGCTATGTACAGGTTTCCTATCCATCACAGTGGAAACCATAACTTTAATCCAATATAAAATTGCTGTACCTGTAAATAGTAAACACTAAATAAAGAAAATGGGTAGAGCAGCCACATATATTACTATTAAAGTACTGTATCGCAAAGATTAATGTTACCTCTTGGTCAAACAGTGGTACACACATTGCCTGTGTAGGCGTCATAAGCATTTGGAATCGTACTACTAGGTCTTGAAGCTCTTCTTCATCAAGATCATCTTCAGGAGTAGAATCTTCACTTTCAACAGTTGTCCCGCGATATCCTAATGAAACAAAATCACTCTTAGGTGAAAAAACACAACTAAAATGTCAAACACCAAAACAGTCGTCAAATCATTAAACTGATCACTGACGAGAGGATGACAGGTGACATCCCTGTCACATTCTACCATTGATGTTTGTTCCACATTTCAATTAGTCAGTACTGTATTCAAATAAAATTATATTCATTTGTGTTCTACATTCATTGTTAATGCTTGTGTATGAAAATATTTCAGATATACGTTTAATTTTGTAACCGAGTCAATTTGAGCAAATATATGTTTACACATAACTGAAGTTTGAAATATACTATAATTTTATGACATTTACCAAAACTTAAAACTGACTTACAATTATGAAAATATAACCTAATTAAAATATTTTCCTATAGTATTATTGGTAATGAAAGTAGAACATGATTACACATAATTGAAAATAGAAATCTATACAGTACTGTATATTCATGTTATAACGAAATATGACCAAAAAACAACAAACGTAAATTTATTGAGTTACCCAAATCCTCTTATAATTACAGTACATTAACAGTACAAAAATAAAATATTTTTTGACTTATTTTTTTAGAGTTATTGGCAAGAAGAATTGAATTTGATTACACATAATCAAAGTTGGAAATGTACTATTTTATAACAAAATATGACAACACACAGCAAATTTTCACTTGCCAAAAGTTACCCAAATCCTTATATAATTATGCTAATAATACAGAGATAAAATAATTCCCTAATGTTGTTATAAGGAATATTGAATGTGTTTACTCACAATTGAAGTTGGAAATATACTCATTCTATAACAAAGTAACACCCTGGGCCTCCACTGGAATTAGTTAACCTCCACTCCCCTCCCCCCCCACTCCCTCTCCCTTTAGATTCAGGGGTTTTGGGTGTGAAGTCCTTCCAGCAGCTTCGCACAGTCATGGAAAAGTGGTTGGGCTCAGGCATGGTCGAGTTAACCTCTTCTCCTCTTCAATGGATGTCCAGGTTGATCCTAGTCCCTCAAGCAGGACTTGGTGGACTTGCTGTACGTTCTCGACCTTGACCTCTCAAGATTGCACGGCTTCATTCCCTATCCAACCTTCCACATGACTATCTTAGGTCAGGTTCACCTGATATTGCATATGGGTTCCAAAATGCTGTCCCTAACCTTCAAGGATGTGAATGTTATTTGATCATTTGAGATTAACGTTTCTTGTGGGCATCAAGCTTACTGCTTCAAGGTTCTACCTTTCAGCTAGAATCTGGTTCTTTAGACTGTTACTGCAGATGACTGTGACCAGCTTTGTACTGTATTTTGAGGGTTTATATCTTGGCCTATCACAACAACTGGCTGTTGAGGCTTCTCAGCCAATCCACATCTCGGCAAGCCAGTGAGCATGTTCTTTCCGAGCTTGCCAGGTTCGGGTTCCTGGTGAACTGGCAAAAATCCCAATTGGTTCCATCCCAGGTTTGAACCTATTTGGGCCTGGTTTGGGATTCCCAGTCAACTTCCCATTCATTGCCCCTGGTGGCCCTGTTCCACCTGCAGTATCATTGCTGTCTTGGGTTGGACCAACCCTACCTGACCAACCAAACTGTGATTCATACGTCAGGCTGCGAGCAGCCACATCCAACAGCCTGGTTGACTAACCCAGCAACCAGGAGGCCTGGTCGAGGACCGGGCCGCAGGGACGTTGAGCCCCGAAATCATCTCGTGGTAAACACAAGGTACCCCGTGTTACTGTGGTTGGTAAAGTGGTGATCATAAAGATGGTTGGTAAAGTGATCATAAAGAATTCCTGGTTCCCTGTGCCTCTGAGTAGGGCCAAGTTCTGATGCTTGTTTTCAGTAGGCCATTTCAGGGACCTTCTTTTTTCTTTTTTTTTTCTTTTTTCCTAATGTGACTCACAGTCTGGAGCTACCTCAACAAGCTAGCTTCATGGAGCCACCAAAGTCCTACCAGAAAGAAGCATTCCATTACATTCCATGCTGGTTGGTTGTTTATTTTCTGTGAAACTTGTACTTGTCTATTTCGTTTTGCTTCCTTTCTGTTTTTTTTTTTTTTTTTAGTGAAGAGTGATCATGAAAATCCACACCCTCCCTGCACCTCTGTGAGGTCAGAATTTGTCCTTTGGTCTCCAGAAGGTTATTATTTATTTATTTTATTTATTTATTAATAAACCCAATGTACCTTCTTGTATGTATATAAGAGTACAGAGACATGAAGTTTTACATTCTTGTAAAGCCACTATTAAGGAGACTTAGATCTAATGTGACTTATACATGTGGAGTTATCTCAGTATGGCTGGCTACTGGGAGCCACCATTCAGCCCCTCCAGAAACAAACAGTAACAAATACCCACACAGAAGCAGGATCACAAAATAATACAATACCTTCACTCCTTTCCAGCATATTTCTACGATGAACCCTAAATTCAATATCAGGAACTAGGGTCATAGCTCGTCTGTAGAACTGGATGGCCTCGTACAGTTGCCCACTCTGCTCCAATTCAACAGCTTTGTTGAACAACTCGGTTGCCTAAAAAAATATAGATCAAGTGTTGAATAAAATGAAATAATCTTTCCTGATGGATCTGCAGTGGCTTCCTGAGCTTAACTCTAGTGCCACCAAGCCTTAGCCCAACACCAGGACCAGAATGCATCAACATTTTAAACATCCACTTACAAAACTGTGCATCTTCCCTTGATCATGGCAGATTAGTCTCAATTTATTAAACACTTTATGAGCTTCAAAACTTATGTTTATTATTATTTATTATTATTATTTATTATTATTATTTATTATTATTATAGACAACCTCAGAGCACTTGGGAGAATAAACCATTTAATAAATGTATACTTGATCCAACATGACTGAAGAAAGACATACAGGTCTGATAAGAGGACACTTAGGTGCTTGATGAATACTGGCCCTGACTCCTGAGACCCACCCGCTGCCTACCGGGAGTCGGACCAGAATCTGGTTCACTCTAAGAAGTGAGGGAAGTGGGGATGATCAGGTATCAACAATTGGGACAACGCACCAGAAAGCATTGACCCAATAAAACAACCAACTGTTGCAAGGAAACGAAGCAAGCAATCCTTACTACAGAGAAAGAATCGCCTGATGATGCACCAGACTGCAATCAGATGGTAGGCCAGGTCCCCGATATCTCAGCCAGCCTGCCCTTCACACTGAAGCTGCCCAGCAAGTGAGCCAGAGTCTTGTCCTGGGTCTCAGATGTCTGGTGTTTTGGGCAGAGACTTGCTGGTACCAGAGTTAAACTCAGGGAGCCATTGAGAGGCATCTTTCCAAGTAACTTTCATAACAAAAAGTCAAATCGTGTAGCAAGGAATTTACCAGTGCACTCTTGTAAACAACTGTTTAAACACTGTACCTGGAGTTCTCAATCTACTCACTACACAAAAACATTTACAAGTTTTTACTGCACCAGTCATTTATCTTCCCCAATGTACTCATCTCTCAACTTTGCTTGCACAAATTCCTCTTTTGTTAATAACATTCCCTAAAGATGCTTGATTTAAACTCAATATCATCCCAGCCCCTTGCCTTTGGCATCAATCTTCGCTGGTACTATACGAGAGTATAGGTTCTTGCGGCGCTCATTCTCACGTTTAATACTGGCAGTGTGATCATTGTTCCTATGTTCTGGATTTTGATTCATTACCTGTGTTGAAAATATATGAAATGCTGCATAAGTTTGATTCCAAATTTCCCTTCAAAATGACTGATGCTAGATTGATTTTAGAAATGTTTTAAATATCTTCTTTTTAATTGTGGGTGTGATATTAATTATTATTGCACAATGTATTTATAATTTCATTTTACTTTATATATCAAGTGGCATGTCATTAATTTCCTCCACTTTTTAATATTCTTTGAATTTCCTCCCTTTATTATATAGAATATTCATTAATTTCTCTCCACTTATTATATTACTGTAAACAATATCTCTCCCTTTTCCACTTTATATATGAACTGTTTCCCCATATAATTACACCATTAAAAACCCTATTCCCTATTATAAGGGGGTACTAACACAATAATGACAGCATAACCCAAGGCAAGGATCACCAGCCAAGTGATTCAGTACTCACTTTGTTTTACTTGCCTAGTTGTGCTTGCAGAGGTTGAGCTCTGGCTCTATGGTCTGGCCTCTCAACTGTCAATCAACTGGTGTACAGATTCCTGAGCTTACTGGGCTCTATCATATCTACATTTGAAACTGTGTATGGAGTCAGCCTCCACCACATCACTGCCTAATGCAGTCTATTTGTTAACTATTCTGACACTGACAAAATTCTTTCTAATGTGTCTGTGGCTCACTTGGGTACTAAGTTTGTACCTGTGTCCCCTTGTTAATGTTCCACCCATACTAAATAGTTTGCCTTTGTCTACCCAGTCAATTCCTCTAAGAATTTTGTAGGTGGTGATAATGTCTCCCCTTACTCTTCTGTCTTCCAGGGACGTGAGGTTTAGCTCCCGTAGCCTTTCCTTGTAGCTTATGCCTCTCAGTTCTGGGACTAGTCTGGGACCACAAGAATGTTGCCCCTCCAGGAGCTGCAGTTCCTGGGTACACTCAGCTTCCGGATAAATAGAAACCATTAAGTATATTGGCCACTATGCATCCGAAAGACAGCTCTGCCTATCAGCATGTAAAGGCAGTGTCCTCGGAAAGGGATTTTGTGGGAATGGGTGGTGATTTTGAGCATTTTCTGCATGTCTGGTCTAAAGTAATCTGTTCTCTGACTAACTTGCACAATTTAGCTTGTCAAAGCCTTCTGTATCATATGCATGGTTCAGTGAAATTAAACCATCAGATATGTACACCACAAATGAAACATTGAGGACTTCTTTAGGTTTGGGGATTTATACAGGTTACACTGTCAATACAGTAAAGAAGGCTACAGGCATAAAAATAGGCAGTGCGAAGATACAAGAATGGAAGAACGTGAGATTATGTATCACACCACCTAAATACTGGGCGATAGCTTACTGGACACATTGATAAATAAAAAATGCTGCAATGTCCTAGCTCTTACCTTTAATTCTATATCGGGTCTGATTTCCTCTTCCACTCCTCCCCCACTACCAACTGTTACTACTTTTACTGTTGTGTTACCACTACCACCACTTCCAATGTTTTCAATACCACTAACAGTTCCACTGCTGCCTCCAACTGTCTCTTGACTCTGAATGCTTTGCACAGCTCTAGGACTTCCTCTTGCTGGGCCTGGAGGCCTTTGGGATCCCTGAAAGGCTCCCTGTGATGTTGCTCTTGAAGGAGAAGATCTCACAGAAGCATGGTAGTGTCCTTTCTGAGAGGGTGCTCCCACTAACTCACGCTGCCATTCCTCACGAAATGTGGTAAGCAGAGCCTCTGGATCCTAGTTAGAAATTAATTATTTACTAAACATGGAAAAATACCATTAGGTGATGGTATAATTCTCAATTAGGTTCATGCAGGACTAAGATAACAAAGAAATTATAATGGAGCTGATTGCAGTAAAAATTACTAGAATAGAAGTGAAACCTTCATCTAGTTGTAACTAAGCGGGAGAGGGAGTAAGGCAAGATGCAAGGTGAGGTGTAAGTGAAGTGTGAAAAGTGAAAACCAAGCTTACATAAAAATAAAAGAATAAAGGGAATTGCAGAAGGCTCATTAGTCAATATGAGGAATGAAAAATCAACAAAGTAGAAAAAATAAATGAAAAAAGAATAAAGGTAAAACAAGGACAAAAAAAAGAGCCAAAATAGAAACACAGAGATAGGAACGAAGAGATAGGAGAGCACAAAGGGGCAGAGAGTTAAGCCAAATTATACTGGCTAAGATTAGAACATTTAACTATGAAAAATACTGAGAAAGGCAAGGGTCAACAGTAACAAAGCCACGACTAAAATTCATGTTGGCAATGTCATGTATGAGAGCCGATTCAGCAGGACAACATCTGTGAAGTGTAGAGGTAGAAAAGATTATTTTGGAAGAAAAGATACAGTATAAGATAATTTGAGTTTCTAACATGACAGAAGAGAGCACTGTATGTGCCATACAGTGCTCTCTGCACTGTATATTATGTATATATATAATATATATAATATATATATAAACACACACACACACACACACACACACAGTAGTTTGATACCCTCTAGACCAGAAATTTAGATGCAGTAGTTATGCCTCAAGTTTATATCAGCACATTATGTTTTCTTATATTATCACGAGATAAAATGAAATGTTAGCAAGGGATATCTAAAGAAAATAAAAACATATTGTCACAGTAATTTTCAACAAATTATTTTCGTGGATACCATGATGCCATAAGCACGAAAATATTTTAAATGATTCCTTTTTATGTATAATAAAACATTTCTTCCTTTTAGGTTCTTTTAACCGTAGATATGGCATCTCTTACTAGCTTTCAGAATACATAGGGACATCTCGGTTCTACAAAAGCAACAGCTTACCGACATCACTCGCACGATGACAACTACCTACTATAATATATCAATTGTTGTATGCAACAGCCTAAAGGTTAACGCTTATGGTGCATAAGATATGATTATCATGAGACAAGCCCCGGGCCATGCTTGAGGGGAAAAACTCTTGGAACCAACTCCAGGTAAACTCGGTGTCAACTCCAGGTAAATGTGTGCGCGTACCTGCCTGTCTTCAGGAAGAAACTTGTTGTCTTCAGTTATATCACCCAGAGCAATGTCATCATCAGCTCCAGCAGAATTTGTGGTTTCAGCCTACAAGAATCAAAATACATTACTTACTGCAACAAAATTATTACAAATAAATGTAACATATTGGCTATAGAAAGCAACACCATCAATTATGATGTTTGAATAAATAATTTGAATAAATTTACATATTTTTGAACACTCAAAATTAATATTTAGAATTTAGAAAAAACAATAAACCAGATTGTAGCACGTGTTACATTTTGCACTGTGTGAATATCATAGATAAATCATTACAACATCATAAAATAGAAGATATTATATATACAGTAGAAACTCGGTTGACGACTGCCCTACAGGACACATTTTTTGGTTAACGACGTCAAATTCATTGTAAAATTTTAATTGGTGTACGACGGTTTACTTAGAAGACTTATCCCACGTAGTGACGACCACTACTGCGCTTGAATTCTTTGTGAATAATTTCACTGTTTGCCTGCATTTTTGTTTTTTTAACACAAGTTTTTTTTTTTTCTTTTTTTTTTTTTTCTTTTTTCTTTGAGATATATACATGAGTTGCTACATTCTTGTACAGCCACTAGTAAGCATAGTGTTTCGGGCAGGTCCCCAGAATACAACCCCCACGAAGAATTGCTTTTACAACCAAGTGCCCATTTTACTGTTGAGTTAAACAGAGGCTACAGTTAAGGATTTGCGCCCAGTAAATCCTCCCCGGTCAGGATACAAACCCATGACATAGCGCTCGCTGAACGCCAGGTGAGCGTCTTGCCACTAAACCACGGAAACTGGTTCTTATTATAGTATATACGTCCCTCGTATATATACGGCGTATACGTCCCTCCCGAATAAGAGTGTTAATTAGCAAAATATATAATGTAATTATGCCAAAAATTATAAATATTTTTCCATAACTTTCATAATGGCTATAAAAAAATTCCAACTTCAAACAATAATTATAAAATTTATTAATTATAAAATTACCTAAATATTTAGATGCATGAGTGGATGAAAAAAGTCATGAACACTGAGTCAACATTATTGCACAGGTGTCAACATGAGCACAAGTTTAACTCAAAGTAACCAGTTTAACACAACCCTGGAAACACAAACCGAAACTCTCTATTTTCCGCTTGTTACAATTTGTAATAAAGTTGTTACATCTTGGCTTAATGTGTGTGTGACATATTAGAACATTGTTACAACTTGCTATATTGGTTGTTATAACTGGTTAGGAAGTGTTAAAACTTGTTTGAATGTTGTACAAACGTCGTAGTTTCGGTGTGTGTTTGGCGGGAAGTAACAAGCAAGTCTTGCCTAACCATCAACATTGATGTACCACTATGATGCATAACCATACATCATTCAAGCAGCCAATGGGAGGCAAAAATCTTCCCTTAAACTACAAGTCACGAAGAAAAGTCACTCGTCTTACAAAGTAAATCGTTGCTTCCAGCAGCCAGGCTTTTCCGAACATGCTAGATTAGGCTATACAAGTTTTATGTGTTAAGTGTTATGTTAGTGTGACTTAAATTTAGCTTAGGATTCGGACCTGCCCGAAACGCTTTGCGTAATAGTGGCTTTAGGCATTGTATGTACTAGCTTTATCTATAAATCTATCAATTTTTGTAAAACCTCTTGTATGTATGTACCTTACCTGAATAAACATTTATTTATTTGTTTATTTATTTAAGTTTGAAAAGAACACCACCTGACCCTTACAGGTCAGGAGTGCCAAGCAATTGTAACTGTTGTCAAGGGACCCAGAATGTGGAATGACCTTCCCAATCATGTTAAAGACTGTACCTCTCTCAACCAGTTTAAGATAAAAACGAAGCACTACCTAATTAACTCCCTGTAACCTACTTTTCCCTTATAATGTCAAGCCATGTCTGTTATTTTTTAAACAATACTGTTTGTTGACCAAATTGTATTTTTGCTGTTTTTCTGCCATGTTCCCCCTTTTTTATACAGGTATTTATATTTTCTCAACACATTTTATACTTTAATCTCAATTAATATTAAGTTTGTCTTTAGTGGTTTTTCCTGCCCGAAACGCTTTGCGTAATAGTGGCTTTAGGCATTGTATGTACTAGCTCTATCTATAAATTCATCAATATTTGTATCACCCCTTGTATGTATGCACTTTACCTAAATAAACATTTTTCAACATTTTGTGTTTATCTGTCATAAGGCACAGCAGTTTTTCCCAATCATGTGACATTTAGTCCCATCCTGTCGGGAGCAAACTTTATCACGTTTAATCCTGACAGGAGAATGACAGGATACCCACGGCCCTGTGCTCTAGCTGTCCCTAAAGCAATTTACCAAGCCTCACAGCTGAGACTTGACTGTCAAGGCTCACTCATCACCACTCATAAAATCAACCACACTCAAGACCAGTTTGTCACATCTACTTGACACATAATATCGATAAGAACGCAACAATTACTCCAAATCCCCACTGTAGCAACCATCCTGCCTAGAGAGAGATAAGAGCCCGGCCGACCATATACCCTCAAAACACCACTAACAAAAGCGTTGGGCATCATTCCACCCTAACCATACGTTCCTTACCATATTTATCTGCTTGCTGGTGTGTTCAGGCGATAGATTCACGGTCGGAGAAACGTACAACACTTGAGAAATATATCCTCGACCTCTCCACGGCTGCCATGTTCGTAGATCCTGGACCAGTTGGCTCAATGGCCAAGGAATTCCGGGCCTTATGCGGCGAACATTAAGAGCGAGTTTCCCGTGATGCGGTTTGTTTACCTCGGCCGCGGCCCTACGCACGCAGCAACTTACCAATAATAAAAACAATAACAATAATAATGACACTTTATATATGTATAAAAACATGATATATGATATAAATATAATGAATTGTTATTTATATTTTTAGGTGCCACTAATCACACACAGCATATTGGGCAAACCATAAAGATTTTTTGGGGCTCTTCCTTACCTTTGAGGGAATGAGCCTGTCCTCAGAAATTATTCTTTTTTTATTAACAAGCTTAGGTATACACAGCAATGTGCTGCTACCCTAGTCTATATGAAAGATTACAGTGTAGATCCAAAACTAGCTATAAGTTCATCTAAAGAAATTGAATTATATTAATATTCCCTGTAGGTGAAAAAGCATCTGTTCTCAGTCCTACATTGTGGCTTGTTGAGCTTGAAATTTTTGCTCCTTATTTGTGTTACACCTGATCTTTTGAAGAATTTGTCTGGATCAACATCTTCTAAATTGTTCTGTATTGTAAAAGTTTCACAGAGATCTGCCCTGTTATGCCTGGTTTGTAGTGCTGTTAGCCCTGTGGCTCTCAACCGTTCACGTGAGTTGACTTAGCTCTGGAATGATTTTTGTTGCCCGGTGTTGCACCTTCTCCAGAACAGCTATATACTTCTGCAGATGCGGTCTCCATGCTTGGATACAGTTATCCGAATGGGGGCGCACCAGAGATATATACAATTGAATTATTACCATATTTTCCTTGTATCATGCTGGACATCACCTATGTGAGAAGGTATCCATGCAAATCAGTCTTTGAAACTCCTGCTCGGTTTATTAACATAGTTTATAATGGATGTTACAACATTTCTAGTATCAATTTTGCATGCTGGGTTTTTAAGTGCTTGAAGAGTTGGCTTTGTGGTTTCTCATTGTACTGATTCAATCTCCTTCAAACCACCTGGATAATTACTAGATAGATAATTTCTGATGACCTGAAGGCATATTACAGTTCCAGTAATAGTTTACATGTAAACAGGCAAATGAACCTTACTCGTAAACAGAGATTATTCTCAATATTGCAACCAATCTTATATTGTTTCTGCTGTATTGTGCCTACCAATTTTTTTGTCAACTACCATTCAAGCTGTCATTGCAATCAATCTTAGCTACCTATGTGCTTTAATATACTGTACCTACAATTTTCTCTCATCTTTTTTTTCATTTCATGTAATCTGTTATCATTTTTTGACTATAATTTTGCAAGTATTTACCTCCTTAAAATTTTCTTAGATTAAGGACCTGCCCGAAACGCTGCGCGTGCTAGTGGCTTTACAAGACTGTAATTACCATATTTGTATCCTCACATTCCTTATGTACATTCTTGTATATGCATAAATAAATAATAATAAATAAATAAATAAATAAAGTTATGACGTTATTGAATTATTAAGTGTCGGTTTAAAATATAAAAGTATATGGTAAACACGTTTTCTGTGAAAAATTTGGTTTTCTGTAAACTAAATTCTCGGACAGACTGGAATAATTTTTGAATTCCATATTTCAAATTCAAATTTAAAATTCATATGTTTATTCAGGTAAAAGTACATACATAGGAGATGAGTTACAAACATAATGTTGGATTTATAGATACATACTATATCTGAAGACATTATTACGCACAGCGTTTCGGGCAAGGTGTAGGAAAACAAATACTTTCTCACCTCAATTCTCGTCTAACGACGTTAAATTTGGTATATTTTTGTTCGCAATATAATTCCCTACAGAGGTATATATACATATGAAGTCCAAAAGCCCTGCGTGCCATCCGCTCCTTACTCACAAATAGGTCGAGGGTTACCCGTGAGCACAGAACACCAAAATGTGTTTACTCTTTGTGGGATTCTCACCTGAATTCTCGTCCTACGTAAAACAAATTTTATTCAGGAAAGTACATATAGTTGATTTACAAACATAAAGTTGGATTTATAGATAGAGCTAGTACATACAACACCTAAAGCCACTAGTACGCATAGCGTTTCGAGCAAATATACGTCGGTCAATTTGGTATCAATTTCAAAACGCCTCACTTTGAACGTGAGGCGTTTCACATTATCGTCAATAAGTAACCGAGTTTACCGGAGAGACACTAACACTAGTGACCTTAATGAGGACAGGAAGCCGGCGGGTTGTCGAAGGTTCACCATGTGCCTTGATCTCTTCCAGCTGTAATTGAAAAGTTAAGAGTTTTGGCATTTGCGGCTTCGGCGGGTAGGCGGTTCCATGGGTTAATAACTCTGTGGGAGAAAAAGCATCTCCTGTTCTCAGTCTTATATTGAGGCTTGTTGAACTTGAAACTTTTGCTCCTTGTTTGTGTTACATCTGACATTTTGAAGAAATTTTCCTGAAACACATCCTCCAAATTGTTCGGTAGTTTAAATTTCATTAAGATCCGCCCTGGCATGCGCCCTATCGTGACACCAGTGAGGCATGTCACCAGTGTGGGGCGCGCCACGGGTGTGGGGGCGCGCCACGGGTGTGGGGGCGCGCCACGGGTGTGGGGGCGCGCCACGGGTGTGGGGGCGCGCCACGGGTGTGGGGGCGCGCCACCAGCCATCCTCGGCTCTCCTACCCGGGAATGTCCGGGGAAGACACACGGGCAGGGGAAGGGTGGAGAGGAGGAGGGTGAGGGAGAGAGAGTGACTAGGGAGAGGGTGAGGGAGGGTGTGAATGGAGAGGTGAGGGTGCAGGGTGAGGGAGAGAGGGGGGGCGGGGGATATGCCGGCTTCTATGGAAAGTCGAACCAAACTACTGGAGGGGGGTCGGCGCCGGAAGCTGGAATGGGAGAGGGGGGCAGGTTGGCGTTGAGAGCCCAGGGGGGCGAGGGGAATAATGTGGTGGGGGCGAGACGCGACGGGGGGGGGGGGAGGGGGAAGGTTGGCGCCAGAAGACCCAGTGGGGGGGGGGGGGGGGGAGCGTGAGGCGGCCGGCGCCAGTATTGATCCAAGGAGGGAGGCTGGCACTGGATACATGGAGGCTGGCACTGGATACATGGTGGGGAGGCTGGCACTGGATACATGGTGGGGGAGGCTGGCACTGGATACATGGTGGGGGAGGCTGGCACTGGATACATGGGGGGAGGCTGGCACTGGATACATGGTGGGGGAGGCTGGCACTGGATACATGGGGGAGGCTGGCACTGGATACATGGGGGGAGGCTGGCACTGGATACATGGGGGGAGGCTGGCACTGGATACATGGTGGGGGGAGGCTGGCACTGGATACATGGTGGGGGAGGCTGGCACTGGATACATGGTGGGGGGAGGTTGGCACTGGATACATGGTGGGGGAGGCTGGCACTGGATACATGGTGGGGGAGGCTGGCACTGGATACATGGTGGGGGAGGCTGGCACTGGATACATGGTGGGGGAGGCTGGCACTGGATACATGGTGGGGGAGGCTGGCACTGGATACATGGTGGGGGAGGCTGGCACTGGATACATGGTGGGGGAGGCTGGCACTGGATACATGGTGGGGGAGGCTGGCACTGGATACATGGTGGGGGAGGCTGGCACTGGATACATGGTGGGGGAGGCTGGCACTGGATACATGGTGGGGGAGGCTGGCACTGGATACATGGTGGGGGAGGCTGGCACTGGATACATGGTGGGGGAGGCTGGCACTGGATACATGGTGGGGGAGGCTGGCACTGGATACATGGTGGGGGAGGCTGGCACTGGATACATGGTGGGGGAGGCTGGCACTGGATACATGGTGGGGGAGGCTGGCACTGGATACATGGTGGGGGAGGCTGGCACTGGATACATGTGGGGAGGAACGGAAAGGAAAAAGGGAAATGGGAAGATAAAGGGAGACGGTAAAGGGGAGGGGAAGGGTAAAAGGAATTGGGAAATAGAATGAGAGAGCGAGAGCGGTCGAGAAAGAGAACGGGAAAAAGGGAGGGAATTCGAATGAAAGCAGAATTTCGTATGATAATAATGGGTTGTATGGAAGGGGGTCTCGGCCTCTTTTGTGGGGGCCTGAGACATTCATAGCATCCTGATGCTTTCCCACACCCCCACACTCTCTCCCACATCCCCAGACACACTCCCACATCCCGAGACACGACACACTCCCACATCCCCAGACACTCTCCCACACCCCCAGACACTCTCCCACACCCCCAGACACTCTCCCACACCCCCAGACACTCTCCCACACCCCCAGACACTCTCCCACACCCCCAGACACTCTCCCACACCCCCAGACACTCTCCCACACCCCCAGGCACTCTCCCACACCCCCAGGCACTCTCCCACACCCCCAGGCACTCTCCCACACACCCAGGCACTCTCCCACACACCCAGGCACTCTCCCACACACCCAGGCACTCTCCCACACACCCAGGCACTCTCCCACACACCCAGGCACTCTCCCACACACCCAGGCACTCTCCCACACACCCAGGCACTCTCCCACACACCCAGGCACTCTCCCACACACCCAGGCACTCTCCCACACACCCAGGCACTCTCCCACACACCCAGGCACTCTCCCACACACCCAGGCACTCTCCCACATACCCAGGCACTCTCCCACACACCCAGGCACTCTTCCCACACCCCCAGACACACCTAAGTCTTGGGTATACCCTCATGGAAGCCACATCTCGAGGCACCTAAAACCATTCCTTCCCCACCAGTGCATCGATCGCGGCCACACCCCCAGCAGGCCACTCCTCCGTGTCAGCCACGCCCCCTTCTCCGGCCACGCCCCCTACTACAGCCACGCCCCCTGTAAGATGCTGCCCTGCATCAAGGGACTAGTCCCCCTGCTCTGACTGGTCCCTCCCCTTCACCTCGTTTCCTACGGTATCTCTCCCCCACCTCTCCCCCTCTCACACGAGATCTCCTGTTTCATCCCCCTACACCCTCTCCAGCATCCACACCCCTCACCCCCCTCACCTCCCCCTCACCTGGCCGCTTTCCAGAACAGGTTGGTACAAAATGGCGTCTGTGGGTATGGTGTGGTGTGGTAGGGTAGGGTGTGGTGGTGGTGTGGTAGGGTGTGGTGTAGTGTGGTAGGGTGTGTAGTGTGGTAGCGTGTGGTGTGGTAGGGTAGGGTGTGGTGGTGGTGTGGTAGGGTGTAGTGTGGTAGGGTGTGGTGTAGTGTGGTAGGGTGTGGTAAGGTAGGGTGTGGTGGTGGTGTGGTAGGGTGTGGTGTAGTGTGGTAGGGTGTGGTGTAGTGTGGTAGGGTGTGGTGTGGGGTGGAAGGCTGGGGTGTGGTAGGGTAGGGTGTGGTGTTGATGTGGTAGGGTGTGGTGTGGTAGGGTAGGGTCTAGTCAACCATTCTGAGACACTCCAAAATGATAGGACTCCACTTTCTTAATTTGCTGAGAGCCCATATTTTTATCACATCTGAAGGTGCAGATTAAGTACCTTTAATAATAATTATAATAACAACAACAACAAAAAATGTGTATTACAACATACAATAACAACCCTGTAGAAATGATGTGGAATACACTGGAACCAAAAATACATTTGGAACATACAGATAAAACATGCCACAAAATATATAATACAGGAATATCTGTGTAATCTGTTACTGGAGGCTACAGCTGTCAGCGTGTATAATGTATTCAGCGACCCGACCATTGGTGTGTGTGTGTGTGTGTGTGTCTCTGTCTCTGTCTCTGTCTCTGTCTCTGTCTCTGTCTCTGTCTCTGTCTCTGTCTCTGTCTCTGTCTCTGTCTCTGTCTCTGTCTCTGTCTCTCTCTGTCTCTCTCTGTCTCTCTCTGTCTCTCTCTGTCTCTCTCTGTCTCTCTCTGTCTCTCTCTGTCTCTCTCTGTCTCTCTCTGTCTCTCTCTGTCTCTCTCTGTCTCTCTCTCTCTCTCTCTCTCTCTCTCTCTGGAATACTGTATGTATGATTGTGAGATAAGGTGAGGTAATTGGGGGGAGAAAACCCTAAGCAAGTACGACTGTATTCCAATGGGAAGGGGTATGGGGACGAGGAGCTGCCTCCGCCTCCTCACTTCTTAGCCCATTCGATTTGTTTTTCTATTCGATCATTAGCTTATTTCGTTAAATTTGGCTAATTTAGTTACGGTGCTTTCTGGTGTAAATTCCTTTACGTATTTTGTATGTTGTGATCATGTCTTCCTTGTTCCAATGACGTGAGACTTTTTTTTAATCTAAAACAACAACAACATAGCAGCCTCATTAGACGTTGAGATGTAAGTCTGGCCGTAATCACACACTCAGACCTCGACAAAGCACTCAGGAAAGTGTGAAAGACTTGGTGTAAAATCCTTACATAAATTTCACATATATACAAGTGTGGGTTTTTATCCTGTGTTATTATGTCTGTGAGAAGACATGACCATTACTAATGATTATTATAATCTGTGACCCTAACTTTAACCCATGCCGCTCTACCTTCCATTTCCCTAATCTCATCTTTGCCCACTATGTCAGTACAAGAAACAAATCCTTTATGTCGTTATCATGTCTCCCTTGAATTTTTTCCTTGTTTGGAAATATTAAGTTATCACAGTTGTTGACCGTGTCTGAGTGGGCTCAACTGTGGGAGGAGGGTCGGTGCTGGGGCCCCGCCGGGGTCCTGTATACAGTTAGACTGCTGACTTATCTAAAGGTCTCAGCGCTACTGACTGTAGGCGCAGCTGGTGCTGCTTTGTTGTGTGGTTCTTCCGGTGTTAGGCTTCACGTCTTATCTACTTCAAGATCATTTAATTTTCTGATTCCTAGATATAAGAACGTAAGAATAAGGGAAACTGAAGAAGGGCCTATTGGCCCATACGAGGCAGCTCCTATTGGTCCCATATGAGGCAGCTCCTATTGGCTCATACGAGGCAGCTTCTATTTATGTCCAGCCAAACCCACTAACATATATGCCTAACATAATTTCGGAACCACACGTATATTATGTACGCTGGTAATTAGTGGCACTAATCAACAACCACATTTCCAAATTGGTATTTATCGAGGTTTTTCCTAAATTTAAATTTTAAATTTTGCCCCGAGGGGCGAGCTTATTGGGCAGCGCCGCTCATCCTGTGAGTGGACACACCGCCATAGTGACAGTATTGGGCAGCGCCGCTCATCCTGTGAGTGGACACACCGCCATAGTGACAGTATTGGGCAGCGCCGCTCATCCTGTGAGTGGACACACCGCCATAGTGACAGTATTGGGCAGCGCCGCTCATCCTGTGAGTGGACACACCGCCATAGTGACAGTATTGGGCAGCGCCACTCATCCTGTGAGTGGACTCACCGCCATAGTGACAGTATTGGGCAGCGCCACTCATCCTGTGAGTGGACACACCGCCATAGCAGCATGTACAACTCTCCCCAAAAGGAAGAAAACCCGCTGGGTTGTTCATCCTGTCACTTGTACCCAGACACAGCTGGGACTTGCTGAACTGTCTCAAGTGAACAGCTCCTCAAACAAGAAGATTAACATCTATCAATCCTTAAAAGCTTACGTTATCTTGCGGGTGCAAAATGGGGAAATCTTTTAAGAACAGTATCAATATTTGACAAATAGTGTTTTCCCAACTCAAACAATGTGTGGTTTATTATTCTACACATATTTCTAATGTCTCTCAGGTGTTCACATTCACGTAGATAGTAGTCAAGGCGGTGTCCATCACTCATCACAAATTCTGTAACTTTGCTGATCAACAGTCGTTTCTATTCCGTATCTCCATGGATATTTGTATCCCAGACGGATTCTCGTTTTTCCTAACTCTAAACTTTTCCCAATTTTATGCTCACTTTTTCCTGTTCTATTTTGTATTAATATTGTATTTTTGCTTTCTCCTCCTGCCTCCTGTACTCCCCTGGATTACATAACATTTAATGTCTCTGTAACCTGTAGCCTCACCAAGCCTCCGCCGTCTGTAACTCTTAAAATCAGCTTTGTGCCGTCAGTAAATATTGTTATTATAAAAATAAATTATTTTAGACTGCTCATAGCCTAGTCGGTAGAGCGTCGTCCTCACATGCTTGGGGTCCAGAGTTTGAGACCCTTACAGCCCGGGTGAATGGAGTTATTATTTACTTTTTTTGTGGTAACTTGGTCACACATACCGGTACCAGGATGGTACGTGTAGAGGTAACCCTCCGGCCGCTGTCTCTCTCTCCTACTGATATAACAGACATTTACACTCCTTCAGTTGTCCTGCTCGAGTTTATAGTTTGGAAAAAAAAAGTTGTTCGAGTCCAACGATGTTGTAGATATTCTGACAGCCCGAAAAGATGCAGTCAGCCCATCCTTTTTTTTTTTTTTTTTTTTTTTACTGTTTTTTTTAACGTCTTGTCATAGAATTCAATTAGGCTTATCAAGTAAGATTTCTTTTAATAGAATTTTGTTTGGAAATAAAAAAAATTGAAAAAGAAATAATTTTGTTTAGCGTGGGAATAATGTTGCTTGTATTCATTTATGGGTATGTATATGTGTATGTATGTATGGGGATGTGTGTATATATATATATTCGTAAATGCAGGTGTTTATATGTATATTTGCAACAGGAGTTTGATGTGTAGGAATTACCTATGACATAAAATAATACAAATAAATTGTGAAACAAATCTAAGAATTAAAATTTTAATCAAATTAGTCACATCACAGATAACATAACATACAAGGATATTCAGCGAGAGTATACCCGGCCTCTCTCTGTATATAAGCCCAATACCCTAAGTCAACGCAAGATGTATATATATGCTAGAGGTAGTGTACACCATATGCTTCAGGGCCCACCACCATGGTCCCCTGAAGACCCGGGCCCTCCACCATGGTCCCCTGAAGACCCGGGCCCTCCACCATGGTCCCCTGAAGACCCGGGCCCTCCACCATGGTCCCCTGAAGACCCGGGCCCTCCACCATGGTCCCCTGAAGACCCGGGCCCTCCACCATGGTCCCCTGAAGACCCGGGCCCTCCACCATGGTCCCCTGAAGACCCGGGCCCTCCACCATGGTCCCCTGAAGACCCGGGCCCTCCACCATGGTCCCCTGAAGACCCGGGCCCTCCACCATGGTCCCCTGAAGACCCGGGCCCTCCACCATGGTCCCCTGAAGACCCGGGCCCTCCACCATGGTCCCCTGAAGACCCGGGCCCTCCACCATGGTCCCCTGAAGACCCGGGCCCTCCACCATGGTCCCCTGAAGACCCGGGCCCTCCACCATGGTCCCCTGAAGACCCGGGCCCTCCACCATGGTCCCCTGAAGACCCGGGCCCTCCACCATGGTCCCCTGAAGACCCGGGCCCTCCACCATGGTCCCCTGAAGACCCGGGCCCTCCACCATGGTCCCCTGAAGACCCGGGCCCTCCACCATGGTCCCCTGAAGACCCGGGCCCTCCACCATGGTCCCCTGAAGACCCGGGCCCTCCACCATGGTCCCCTGAAGACCCGGGCCCTCCACCATGGTCCCCTGAAGACCCGGGCCCTCCACCATGGTCCCCTGAAGACCCGGGCCCTCCACCATGGTCCCCTGAAGACCCGGGCCCTCCACCATGGTCCCCTGAAGACCCGGGCCCTCCACCATGGTCCCCTGAAGACCCGGGCCCTCCACCATGGTCCCCTGAAGACCCGGGCCCTCCACCATGGTCCATGAAAACCAGTGGTCCCCTTTGCTTGTAAGAATTACCTGAATTTGACCCGAGGGGCCATCAATTCTAGGGGTCCCCCCCTCGACGGGGACAGGAACCCGGCGGCTTGTCAGAGGTCCCCGCCATTGGCCCCACCTGATGAACCTGTTCCACCTCTCATACACCTCGTGTTATAGTGGCCTTCCTTCACGACTTACAATCAAGGATCCCGGACGGGAATGAAACGGCTAGGCACGGTTTCTTTCACCTAATGTCTATGTTCACCTAGCAGTAGATGAACACGGCACTTGTCAGGCAGCAAGTGTAGGTGTGGACACGAGTACCAAGATGGACTCCTTACATGTCTTGCCCGTCTCCCAGATCTCTCAGTTCACAACCACTCAAATTGTTAGACTGTTAAATAACATTACAGTCACCATGTGCCCAAAGACGTCCCTTTAGGATATAATATGACTCACGCTTTTCAGAATATTTTACTGAATATATCTAAAAGTTGTAGTTCAAGGGAGCTGGTCGGCCGAGCGGACAGCACGCTGGACTTGTGATCCTGTGGTCCTGGTTCGATCTCAGGCGCCGGCGAGAAACAATGGGCAGAGTTTCTTTCACCCTATGCCCCTGTTACCTAGCAGTAAAATAGGTACCTGAGTGTTAGTCAGCTGTCACGGGCTGCTTCTTGGGGGTGGAGGCCTGGTCGAGGACCGGGCCGCGGGGACACTAAAAAAAAAAGCCCCGAAATCATCTCAAGATAACCTCAAGATAGCCCCGGCACTGTTGACAGCACTGAACGCCAGTTAGTCTTGTGCTAGATCAGAGGCATGACAGAAAACATTAAATATACTGCCTCATATGCCTTGTGCGTCAAGCAGTTCTATATGGATCTTAAATCGCAACAATGGATCAACATTTATATCTCAATTTGAATTTTATTTTGAAGATATAGTCATTGAAGGTATTGGTTGGCTTAATGCAATGACTCAAAACTACAGGTTTACAATCGTATCTATTTTTAAAACTAGTATTGTATTATCATCTGGTATCCCTCTCGCATCTCTGCGAGTCACGTGGTCCTCAAGTTTACTTCCTTGTGTCCTTGTTCTCCACTGTCTTATACCTAACATGAGAATCTTATACGTCGTTGTCAAGTCCTCTCATTTCTGTTTTTCTTAGTGTGATGAAATTGTGTGCGCGCGCGCGCTAATCTAGTTGTGCTTGCGGGGATTGAGCTCTGGCTCTTTGGTCCCGCCTCTCAACCTTCAGTCAACTGGTGTACATATTCCTGAGCCTATTGGGCTCTATCATATCTACATTTGAAACTGTGTATGGAGTCAGCCTCCACCACATCACTTCCTAGTGCATTCCATTTGTTAACTAGTTTAGTTAAGTGTGTGAGTGATCTCGCCAAAGGCCCACAGTACAGGTGGTGAGGCCAGGCAGGTAGCCATGGCTTCTGGAACTCACTCACACACATCTTGCCACAATCTCTTTGTCATTACCCATTGAGGAGTCGGTCCAGTGTTTTCCTTCCATATATGGAGATAGATGTGGTTCATGTGTGCAGTCAGATGTCAGTTTTAGCTAGGAGGCAGATATGTGGCTCGTGTGTGGAGGCGTCCACTGGGGCATACATACTCTTCCTCCGTTATTGAATCAAAAGTACATTTGGAGAGGCCCACACGGAGCCCCTGAGCCATGACGGCGCCATTTTCTTGCCTCCCGCCTCCCTCGACCAATGGCCGGGCTGGAGGGGCTCGGGCGGCGACCAATCAGCGGCCGCCGCCACCCTTTCATCGATCAGCGGGTGCTGAGTCGTCTTCCTCTACTCCTTGCTTGCCCCATAATTCTTCCCCTCGTGCCTCCTTCCTCCTTCCATTATCTCTCCCCTCCTCATCCCTAGCGAGGCGGACGCTTCTCCCCTCTACACCCCTCGCTTCCCCTTCCTCTCCGGCTAGCCTCCCCTCTACATGCATCTGCCTAATGAATAGAGGAACTGTTTTGTTTTCCATGAGAGTGACTCCCGCCATTGAGAGCCGGTCGAGGGTGACTCGCCTAGACCCAAAAGGATATTGACGCAGATCTGTACTAATACATTTTTATGGCCAAACTTGTAAGATATTTCTGGGTGTGGGTGTGGCTGGCGACAGCCTGGAGCCTCTTGACGGATCAATGCTCAGCGCCAGCCTCTCTGCTGCCACCACCACGGCCGCCGGCGCCGCTACCATACCACCAACACTACCACACCACACCATCATCCCCACACCACCACCACCAACACACCACACCACGACCAGCACCACACCACCACCACACCACACCACCACCACACCACACCACACCACAACCACACTACCAACACCTCACCACCATCACAACCACACCACCATCACCATCACAACCACACCACCATCACAACCACACCACCATCACCATCACAATCACACTACACTACCAACACCACAAACCACACCACACCACACCACACCACCCCTCATCACCACA